ATTGAAACGTTAACTTAAGTGTCAAATTACCGCTCTATTTAACAACAAATTTCTGTGAAGTGTCTTGACCACTCCAACCGCATTAACGTCAAGTGGACTCCCAAGGTCCTTGTCTGTTCCTTGTACGCAGCAACTGAATGTCTGATTAGACGCTGTCCACATTTCTGTTTTGTTTTACGTGCAGAGTAGCTGCTCGTGACTTCAGAGGAGTGATTAATGCGATTTGAAGTGGGCAGTATGTCGTGACTGATCTAACGTGCTCTCAAAAACAGCAAAGATTTCGAACGTTGTAATAGTGTGTTGTAGCTACAGAAGAATATATTGTGCCGTCGTTTTTGTTTATAAATGTTAAATGCAGCCTTGAAATGAAAAGAAAATTTAGAACTTGGCCTGGGTTCCTAGAGTTCTATCGCCGCGTGTGTGGATGTTGAAAAATAACAGGCTGGAACACGGAAATGCATTTGATGTGAATTACCGCATCTCGTGACAGCTAAGTGTTTGTGAAAAATCTTATAATATGTGCATAAAATGAGAATTGTCATGTACCATAGTCAACACTGACGGCTGAATCATCAAAGAATCCCCACCCCCACCCCAATTCCGAGTGGCAAGTGTCTGACCGTGTTTCCGTGATAGTCATCTGCAGCCATGGATACCGAAGAGAGGACGTCACGGCGCACGAAGCTTGGTCGAAAGCTGTCACGACGTCTGTCCCTGGTCACCAAAGTGCCGAACATGATATCCGTGAGGCTTAGCGGGTCACGCGACTCCTTGCGTCGGGGTCCTCAGCTCAGGAACTTGGAGATTACTGCAATAGCGCCGGACAAGACTCAGAGAATTGTGAGTATGGGTGCGGATTTTTGTCGCCGATACGAACACGGGGCGGGGAAAAATTTCATCATGAAGAGACTCATAATTTGTGCTGTTCGCAAAATGTTATTAGATTCGTCAAACCATTTCGGATGCGAACGGCGAGGAATGGGAAAGGTGACAAATACAGGGATCACAACATCTTTTCCCGCAAACCCTAAATGCAAGTGAGCACTAGGGAGACCTAGGCGTAGGTGGAATGTTGATATTAAGCGCCGGACTCCCTGGCAAACATTCGTACTTACTTACTACCGCCACGGTGGACTAGCGGTTAGAACGCTGGGCTTGTAATACTGGGGTCCCGGGTTCGATTCCCGGCAGTGCTCAGATTTACAACTTTTGTTGGGCAAGGTCGTGGTCTAGGCATCGCGGAGTTTTTCTCCGGGGTTTCTCCGTGGCATCCCAAAAATTACTCCACTTTCATCATCATCTCGTAAAAAGGGGGTCACAACAGGATCGTAGAATGTCGCGGTCCCGATCGAACCCATGTACTGATGGATCGTGAATCCTGCTAACCACCAATGCACACCATGCTGAATATATATATATATATATATATCGTAGTGCTTTAAAATATTTTGAGTTCTCTTTCCGTGAACATACTGTCTCCATCTTCATCAGCTATTCGGTAGTAGATATCACCGCACAAAATGAAGTTATTAGGCGTCGTTTGAATTTGTTACTGTGATTTTGACGGACTCTGTAATCGTGTGGTCCGAAAATTGGGTCTTGAATTTGGTTACGCCATTATCTTTGTTTCCGTTATTCAGTTGCCGCCTTTCAAATTATTTAAAAATTGCTGCAACTTTACGGTCTCTCAGACCGGAAAATCGAGCAAGCTTTCTGTTTTGAGTTGTCATTTGGAAGTTCGCTAAAATTGATCATGTTTTGGGTCTTTATACTTCTTTTATTAAATTTATGTCTTCCAGGATGATTTGTTTTTCTTCAACAACTATCGCCGTGACCAACTGTTAACCTTAATAAAGAAAGTCAAATTAATAATTATAACGCGCATCGCACTGACAGAAATTAAACCTGGTACTGAAAGGTTACTGAGGGAAAATTAGTGTCAAATATCTCACGAGTAACCGATTTTATAATAGAGAATTACTGAGTAGTACCTGAACATGTTTTTCAAGAGTAAATGAGGAACAATTGTAAGTTGCTGCGAAGTTTTGGTAAATTGCTCACTGAGTGTCTGGCGCCAGGTTTTGAAAGGTTGAGAACTTTAGTTGTACAAAGTCTGAGTAACTGTCATGTATTCTGGAAAGGCCCAGTACGATGGCGCTACTTGACAATAGCTTGTACGTTGTTCCAACACGGTATATGAATTAAGGCTGTAAATTTCCTCTAGGCTGGCAGTCGTCTTGCCTTGACGCGTGCTGGACGTAGCCTGTGTGCTCTTTGGATAGACGTATTTGAAACGCATCTCCCATTCAAAATATTACTCCTAATTTCTGTTGCCTGTACGGATGTTTTAAATCTATAAACCAATTCCCTTTTTGTTAAAACTAATGTGGCGTTTGCTTCGTACCGGTTCAAACAAATCATAGACAGTTAAAAGCTTAGGGAGACTTCCTTTATGAAGACACTTCAGACTTGGGTGTGTGAGAGA